CACGGTGATCATTTATATATATACTTTATATGGTCTCCGACGTTTCCTTCTGGGTGTTACAAACTTCGTGGCAAAATTAATATACCCTGTTCAGGGTATAAATATACCGTGGTAAAGATAACGAATGCATAAAAGCAACAAACGAGACCTAAAACGATTAGAATCATTGCATGACAAGGATTTTGAAATAAATATGAACCGTTGTTGTTGTAGCGGAAGAATTCTACCAAATTGACAGTACTTGGCCGGATAAAAATCCGGGTCCGTAGACCCGACTGTTGTGAGAACGGTATTAACAGTCTTCGTAATTGGTTCATCCTTCCCAACTTCTTTTAATATATACCCATTTCGTTTTTAACCTGGAAAATGTTCATACATACATATATGAATGTGTATGTAAACATATATTATTTTTTTTAATGTATTCGGAGGTTAATTATTTAATTAACTTATAAAAAAATAAATTGATCCATTTAATCTTGACTAATCTTATTACTACATAATCGGTTTATGCCCTCCTTGCTGCTCGTCGTTCATAATAACGTTGCACGGCCGCCTCATAAACTTCGCCAACAGTACGTTTCTTCCATATTGCCCTCTTATCTATTTTGACCTTGGGTTTTACTTCGACTAAATCACAGGTTTCGCTTGATACTATTGGAGCATTCAGCTCGGTTTTTGAATCAATCTCTTCGGTTTTTTCGTCAGGTTTTTCTTTCTTTAATGCATCCAAATTTAAAGCGGTTGTGGTTGCGCTAATGTGCGCTGCTAATCCTATGGGCTTCTCAACCATTTTATCTCCTACATATTCTTTAGATGCCTCTTCACCATCAGATGATGAATCAATGCTAAAATCCGAATCTGCATCTATATTATTTGGTAAATGCACCTTTTTAGTTTCGTTTTCTGCATTTTCGCCATCATTCTCCTCCATCTCATCGGAAGCACGACGCTTGCGGTAGGTTCGTTGCTGTGGGATTTTGCCAGACTTTATTGGTTTAAATGCTATATCATCTTCATCGCCTGCAGACGTAACAACGGGTATGTCCGGTTTCTTAACCTCTTTTGCTGAACCTGTTTTCTGTTCAAATAAATGCCGATAAAATCCATCTAAATCCTTTTGCTTTGTCACATCACCGATTGCTTCTAGGTACTCATCACGCTTTTCTTGCTCCTGCAATTTTCTCATTTCTTCTAACTTCTTTCGATAAGTAGAGGTTACAAAACTTTCTTTGTCTTTGAATTCCTCACCCTCCTGTTCACGTTCTTTTTGGACTTGCCTCTCCACCCTTAGCTCGTTTTCCAACTTACGACGTTCAGCGAACTCCATTAAGCGACCAATATATTTGGGCTTCTTCGGTTCTTTGCTTTTAACTTCTAGTTCTTGTTCTCGCTTATTTTCCATTTCGTCATAAAGTTCATCATACTGAAAAACTGTAGGGTCTTCGTTTAGTGCCTTCTCCTGCATAGTACGTGCTATTCGTCGTTCCATCAAACTAGGTCCTTGTACTATACTTGTGCGGGGCTTAAACTGTGGTCTGCTTTCGTCATCCGAGGAGCTTTCATCAAATATAGATGGTTTAGATATTGGCCGAGCAGCTGTGGTCGGCTCATCTTGTTTTCTTTGTTGTCCAGGGATAATGAGACCATATCTGCAAATATTCAAAGGAATTAAATGCACAATACTTAATTTATTTCCCACTTACTGCTTTGACATTTTGCAAATACCGTCAATTACAACCATGGATACTTTTTAGCATTCACCTAGAGATGGTACAGAGGATGATATTATCGATATCTTGAAATATCGTAAACATCAAATACAGGTATATTGTTACCGAATTGTAATACATTTTATGGGCAAATGCATAAAAAATCTAAGACAGACATCTAAAAATAAGTCCTCTCTTGGTGAGCTTTCAACCTCGTTGAACCAGAGAGTGTAAAATATAGAGAAGGTGCAAATTGAATTCTGTATGATACTCGATTGAACGGCTAGGAGGGCTGAAAAACACCGAGTAGGCAATCTACTATTTTCTAATGTATTCGCTACTATTTAGCAGAAAACTTTTAACAACGTTCTCTGGCAGAAATACGTATCTATCAACATAAAGAGAAGAATGAAATATTTTGAAGAAAATATACAAATGCCACTTCACATATATGTATGTGATTATTTTTTGTAATATATAATAAATAATTTTCATGATGAAAAATTGATAAAATTTGATTTGAACCTTATACAAGTAAGTTTTTTATTGAACAATATATAGCCTTTTTATTACACTTTTTATTATATATAAACACGACGACTAAATTGATTTAAATATACAGACGAATTCAAGTGTATTTAATGTCAAATCCTAAAACGAGTTCACAGTGTGAAGAAAATCATCTCCTCATCAAAGAAGGCAGCTCTGCAACAGGCTACCACAACCGCAGCTCAAAGTGCGGCATATCTATGTAGATATATACATATACATACGTATTTATGTAATATTTAGAATAGTTTCCAGTACTGTTTCACTTTGTCATCATGTGGTAAATATAAAGACTGTGGGCGTTCAAAAGCTAAAGCATACTGTTTGCTCTTTTTGCCGATCTCCTGATCAAAAATCTAAAATAAATAAAGCAATTAAGGACATTATCATTATGATATGCAAATTCTTTCAAAATTTACTTACATCATCTTCTTTCAATTCTAGTACAGAAGACAAGTCCCACTCAGTAGTTGGTAAAGGTTGGGATATAAAACGTGCCGCATTTGCCACTGCTGGGATTGCATGCCTCTGTAATGATACCACTTCCCATAATGAACTATCTAACGCATTTGACTTTGTTGGATCACGTTCCTCCATGATGAAGGGGTCGCGCGAAACTAATAACATAAAACAATATGTAAACACAATCGAAAATTTTAAACAAATTTTTCATACCTTCAATGACGGCCTGAGCGCAAATGAGCCGTTTTAAGCCAGGATGACGTAATATCAAATTGCCAATAAAATGTAAAATAATAATAGAGTCTTGTGGCGGTGCGATTAGACTTAATCGTGCCAAGCGTTTAACAAATGAGGCTACTAAATTTTCTGGCAAATGTGTTGAGCTTAAGAAAATGTCCGCCAGATAAAAAAGACGTGCCTTAAATTTGGTATGGAAAATTTCTGGTTCAAACATAGAATACAGCTTTTCATAAATATTTGGATATGTAATATTATGCTTCTGTATCAGAGTGAAAATGCCTTGCAATGCAAGTAAGCTAACGGGACCACCTAAAATATAAGAGTGATGCTAATTTATATTATGGGAAAACAGAATAATCATGTTTTTTCATACCGCAATCAAGTGAGTCCATGAGAAAATCTGTTAACAGTATAGGTTTTTCCAAGTGTGGCAAAACTCGCTCCAACAATATGATAAGCATTTGTCTATGCACAGGCTCCTGTACACCGTCGGTCCACTGCATTAGGCACATCCATACCTTGTTAATACATTTTTTTATTGGCGCGTAGTCAAAACATTCAGGTTGTGAGGATTCTTCGCTAGATTGAGTTATGCACAATAGCTTTTTTTGATCATGCAGGTCTTTGGTCACAGGCAAAACATTAATAAGTTCCAAATAGTTACATGCAAAAACGTCATTAGCAAAAGCAGCCCGTGTAGCTAGTTGTTGCATCAATTTCCAACTGTAGAACACCACATCCAAATATTCGGAATACTCTTTGAAGCGCTCTAGCAGAGTGCTTTGTGATTTCGTTGCAGATACTAACTTCTGTAGAATACTACGTAGACGTTGCTTAGGAAATTTACAAGGTTCATCCGACTTATCTAAGGGATGTTTGCCTTCTGCTGCCAATAACTTCATGCTAGATACCAAGGCTTGTGCCGCTTCTGCTTGTTTTTCACTTTCAATGGAGCTAAGTATTAAACTCATTGCTTCCTCGTAACGTTGTCGCAGCCATTCGCGGTATTTGGTCTCTGCATTTTCGTCTGCATGTACAAAATATAATTAAATGTGTTTGTAATATATATGTACTAAAGTATGTATGTATATACATGATTACCTTTAGGTTTCAGAGGCACACCCGCTATACACATTTCTCGCCGCTTTAACAATTCAACGAATACAACTTCCAAGGTCAACAAAGCGGCAGTAATAGATTGATTTTCTTTAACGCAATGCTGGACACAAATGCATTTTAATTAATACGAAAAAATCAAAAATAATACTTATGTACAAATGTATATTGTAGTTGAACGTCAACTATGACATATAAAGTGCATAAAATTACACATACCTCAAAATGTCCAATGATATCCAAAAGATTGTTAGCATTACGTCGTGAATTAAGGAAATCGTTAGCCTTTGCACGCAGCTCCTTGGATATTTGGCTACGTATAGCTCCAGGATTTGCAACAGTTGCGGCTGAACCCACAGCCGTGGCCATTTTACGCAAGTAAGCCTCAGCAAATAAAGTAGATTTATATTTGTGTAATTTAGTTATTCCCAATATGCGAATTTTATTAAATAGTAATTTTAATGTAATAATCTGTACAACAAAATTTGATTAGTAAACGTGAGGAAAAAAGTAATACAAGGTGTAGTGCAACAACAATTTCATAAAAATGTGTTACCAATCTTTTAAGGTTTTATTTTTCTTCTTAAAAATATTACGTTTTGTCTAAACATGTAAAGTTTTTTATACATAATTATGAATATTTATGTTAGCGATACATTATTTTATATTTATCTTGATGTAATAACAAGTTTTATATAATAATTCAGTTTTAATTTATCTTTTTATTAGTTGGCAACTACAAATTGTGATCAACACGTTTTACCGTGTACTGAGTGAAGAAAGCAACAATCACAATATAGAGGTAAACAAACGAGGAGAAAATCTGGAAGGGTAATGAACGGTGTTACGTATTTCAAGCCGGTTCCAACTCGTGCAGCTTTAGTACTACAACAAAAGAAACAGCCCAATAAATTTCAGGCTACAGTATTTGAAGATCCTGATAAATCAAACGATGATGTACAGGAATACAACAAGATGTCAGGAAGCGGTGTCTCCAAAAGATGTAACACTAAAGATGTAGCAGAAGAGTTCGATATTAAGAATGCACGCAACGAGGTTCTTCGGTTTGCCATGAATAATCAACGCGTTGCCAAAAACAAAAAAAAAATGGAAATGTTCCAGCTCATGAAGATGGGAGGAAAGGCACCAAAGAAACCATACAAAAATTACAAGGACCTTTTGGATGAACGCAAGCGTTTAAAGATCATACGTGAGGAAAGAAAGAAATTTCATCAGTTAGGCAAAACTCAGACTGGTGCGGCATCTGTTAAATGTCGAAGTAAAACCAAGTTGGAGAAGCAACAAAAGAAACGTGCACCTGTAACAGCAATAGACCAAAATTATGGAGTTGCAAAGCCAAAACTGAAGAAAAATAAATAAATTGAATACATTATTGTACATATCTATAATTTTATCAAAGATAATACATATATTTTAACAATAATAATAATTCAATTATAACATCGATTTAATATATCCGATAAAAAAAATCGATTGAATATTTGAATCACTGTGTACATTCTGACATTTATCAGCTGTGATTACGTGATTCGCACGGGCAAAGTGAAATTGTTTTCAAATTCGCAAAAATTAATAGTAAATATTTAATATGTTCCACCGATCCCGTTCATTGTGTAGCATTGTACGTCGAGGCTATAACCAGGCGGCACAGGATATGGCTGGAGTAAAACCTCCGAAGGGACCAGGAGGTAGTGATGGTGTTAATCCCAATGTGCCAGGACTGAGCAGCAACATCGTCAAACTAGCATCCGGTCCACTCGGTCCCGGTGCTTCTCAGAATGGTGAATATAAAGTCCCGGAATATTATTCATTCAACCGCTTCAGTTACGCCGAAGCAGAAGTGGAAATAGCAAAATATCGACTGCCCCAACCTTCCGCACATCGAAAGTAATCAGCAAATAAAAATGAATAGAACAATGTGAGAATAATAACTAACATTAATTATCAAAATAAATAATTCAACAACTATAGCAAGTTATTATATTTATTTTGCAGATTAGTACAAACTATTTTAATATTAATTACAGTTAAACAATCATTTCTAATTCGCGAGCATAAAAAATAGCTTGTTCTGCCAACTCAACGGATGGTAATACTTCTTTGGGCTTGGCAGTTTTTTCCACAAAGTTGTAAATACCATCAGGCCCCAAATTCCAATTCCGTTTTTGGCCAAAAGTTTTGACCTCCTCAAGAGAATTGAGATTCAGTCGTTTCGCTGCTTCTTTAGCAGATATTTTTTCATACGATTTTTCTATACAAGCCCCGATTTCATCACGTACGGTGTTAAGTAGAATATCCATGAAGTGGTTATATATTTCCGAAGGTGCTGAACTCTATAAGAAATATGGAATACATTATATATAAATTGTGAAGCAACCTTAACAGATTTTTTATTATTGTTGTTCGATTACCTTTGCTTGAAAAATTTTATTATAGCGTCCTTCCATTATGTACTGTTCCAATGCTAATATAGGACGAATATATTTGTTATTTTGGATAGTGTCGGCTGATAAAAGCTCCAATTCTGTGTGAAATTCGGAAACTCGATTTACAGACAACAAATAAAGCAGATTTATTCCCAATAATTTGTACATATTTTCGGACTCTCCTATCTTTTGCCTAAAATTGTATAAAATATTATTATTTTTTAATAAAGCGGTAAGTACTTATGATTTATACATACTTGTAATCATAATAATAACATTTTAGTTGGGACATGTATCTTTCGTAGGCCGGTATGTCCTTGTTTGCGACGCTGTATTCAACTGCAATTTCGAGAACATCACGAGCTAGGACCATTTCATTTTTGCTTGTTTTCGTACCGCCAGTGGGCAAGAAAGCTAATTTGGTTAGCTCAACCTATATTATTCAAAAAAACAAAGTAGATGAATTTGCAAAATGTACCAGGGGCTTTGTGAGATTATATGAAATACAAAATACCTTTAACACATCCAATAACTGACCACATTTCTTTAGATTTTGAGGTTTTCTGGACCACTCGGTTTTTAGTTCTTTATATAAAGTCTCAATACCACTCAAATTTGCCATTTTAAAGCTTTTTTTCGTATATGAGAATGATAACTTTTCAGAATGATACGCTAAAAATCAGTCAATTGTCTTTTTATCCCCCTCTTTGTTCTGTCATATATGACAGTGTCGAATTTTCATCCCATGCTTTGAGTTGACATACGCGTCTCCAAAATCTAGTACGTTACTTCATTTAGACAACTAATTGTATTTACAACGAGTTTGATACGCTCGTACATACCGATTTAGCATAGTGGGGATTATCAGCTGGCTGTTAGATTCATATAGAACTAGCTTTGTTCATTCTGTTAAACAATTTATCACCTACATATGAACTTAAAATTTTCATCGTAAAAATTAGATGGCCGCCATTTTCTACAAATGCAACTCTCCAACTTTTTTTGCAAAGAAAACGGGTTTTCTCTTTCGCTCTTACGTAATGCGGGCAAGTAAATGTCAAAAAGGCGCCATTTTTACAGTTCAATGTTATCTCGTTGTGTCTTTTTCACACACGCCAAGTTCGTAAAGTGAAATTAGTGTTGTGAAAATATCGTTGAGACTGCGTTTCTTCACATCGAAATGTCATAAAGCGTTGTTGGTTAACTAATTCAACCAATTTAAGTAGAAATATATAATAATTGTAGTTGTGCACATACGTTTCAGCAAAACATATTATAAATGAATGAGATATAATTGAGACAAAAATCGCAGAAATTTACGCTACATCTTAGCGCGGTAGGGTATTGTGTTCGTTGATTTAGAGTGTGCAGTAATAGTCTACATTTTCTCCTATTGGAACATTGTGTTTTCAGTAATTAATAATTAGGTCTTCGCTTTATGTTAATGGAAAGTGGCCATAATTGTTTTTCGCATTTGATATATATATCTGGACAATTGAAAGCTAAGAATAAAAGTAAGCATGCAATAAATGCAAATATTTGATGAGATGTGCTACTAGATGTTCTTTCAAACACGCCACGAAGTACAGTAGGGCGAATTGCAAAATGTAAACGGTGGAATTTTACTGATGGCCTTAAATAATTTCTGGCGAAAGGAATTTTAGACTTGGAAAGAATTTACTTATGTTCCCAGAAATATTTGGGTATGGCTTTACATTAGTTTTTGCGTGATTCGCGCCAATATTTGACAATCGGTGGAAAGGTTTAAAGAGTTGCCACACGGCCCTATCGCCCTATCATTAAGGGATGAATCGCACAGTCTACGATATAAATAACTTATTTTTGTATATTTTTAAATAAACAATAGACATATAGTAGCACATATAGTTCATTAATAGAAAACAAATAATTTGTTAATCATTCAAAATACATTCAATTCAATTGTTTGCTTCTCAGAAAACTACATGTGAAATAAGGATGCGCGTTGGTAAAAAAGCTAACGTCGTAGAGGCGAAGAAAACACGTTCTTGTGTCGTTCGGTTGGAAAAAGTTTCATCACCCCCAATAAAATTAACTAGAAGTAGTGGTGTAAGCCCACGCGGAAACGCTCAACAACACTCTGACGAAAAAAAATTCAAAGGACCACTTAAGAAGCGACCTATTGCAGAAGAAAGAAGCTCATCGAGTTCACCAAGTGTTTCTATACCAAATTTAACACAAAATTTAGGGAAAGCCAAAGAAATGAGAGACAAATTTAAAACTCCTTTGAAGGGTCATAAGACAACAACACCCAAACCCGTTGTTCCCGAACTTCCTCCACCTACAATAGCAGCGGGTCGTTCAAGGAGAGCAATAAAACCAAATCCGAAATATGCGAGTGAGGATATGGTTACACCAAAGATCATTAGAAATGTGTCAGCGCTTGCAGGAACATCAGTAAAAAGGCCAACAATAATTCCAGAGAAGCAACGGAAAAGGTCTACAAGTAGTTCGGATGACTTTTTCAATAAAGATTCTAGCGACGAATTGGGTGCCAACGATTTCGATGATGAAGTAGATAAGTTGTACAAAGAAATAGAAAAAGAAAGTGATTCCGATTTCTCAGACGAACCTAAAGTTGTCGAAACACCTGTAAAAAAGCGTGGACGACCTCGAAAAAATATACAACCAACCCCGACAAGTACTCCTGCAACTCCTCGGTCCACGCCTGCGTCTGTATATAAATCACAGTCATCACAACTTCAATTATTACGAAAGACATATGCAGCAAGTGTAAATAGGTCAATTGAAGCTTCGGTTGGGATTAAACGTAAGCACAATGAATCTATGACTGGAGGTAGTAGTAGTGATAATGATAATGAATCGGCTGGTATTGCTCGAAAACGTATATTGCTAACAAAATCGTTAATGGTTCGCGACAGTAAAACTTCGAGTTCCAATGACATTAGCATGATAGTAAGGAAGGGCAATCAAACACTAAATGGAAACAAAATTGTTAAAATTAAAAGTGATGCATTAGAAAATGAACAATCCAAACGCAATTCAACAATTATAGAAAAACGAACACTTATTGATGGTGATAATGTACCAATTAAATTGCAACAAAGTAAATATCTACAGACTATGCGTAATATCAATAATAGTACTGCATCAACACCATCAACAACACGTACTTTAATAACGTCAACTAACAAGACACAAAATGCAAGAATAATGGCGGTGGAAAAGCGGCGCAGCGCTTCGCCCGCTACTCCAAAAATTACAAAATCGCCTAAGGAGGAGAAAACTGAAGAAAGCAGTGAAAACAAACTGACGGATTCACCTCCTTCGAATAATGATGATTTCGAAACTATGCCAACTTTTACAATTGTCAACATCAACGATATAATTAACAAGAAAGGTGATGTGCTAATATCAAAGGCTGGGAAACCACAAAAACCCGAAGAAAGTATAAATCAAGAGCACGAGGCACCGGAACCAGTTAAAGTAAACGAATATAAACCTGGTCCTGGACGTCGTAAAGGTTTGCTTTCCGAAAAAGCCAGCGATCCAAATCGTTCGAAAAGTCCGTTGAACGTAACAAAAAAACCAACGCAGAAAATTCTCAATCATACACTACTTAAAAGAACATCGTCGGCGAATACTTCCGGGATACGCAATAAAACGCATTCAAATACTTCATCAGATAGACCAGCTCCTCGTATACTCAATTCTATGGTAGCGAAGAAAACTCAACCGGTTAAGCCGATGATAGCGAATTTCGAAGATTCGGCAGACGACGAAACTTACCACTACCCACTTTCTCTTGATGGTGAAGAGGAAGATGATGATGATGAGGAAGATGCAAATGAGACTGCGGACCCAGATGAAGATTTCGATGATCCAGATGAATCCTTCGAGGTTGGTAAAAATAAACTTCCTGCCAGCACACCGTACCAACAAAAGAAAACTGCGCCTTCGTTGAAGGAAAACTCACAAACAGCCCTGAATCGGCAACCAGCTAAAAATATTGTTCAACGTAAAATCACACCAGAAAAAGTTGTGATCTCTCGCCAAGGTGATAAGATAATTAAGAAAATTACTTGTTTTGAAACATGGTATGTCATCATACCTGAAGAAGTGACGCCGAAAGTTGCGAGAAATATACTTGATATACCCCTTATTAAACTGGCCAACGTAGCTGCTCAGATCAACCTACCATCAGAGGATTGGAAAAGTAAGGTGACGTTACACGAATTGTCACCATCAATGGTAGCGAAAACAAACATGATAACATATACTGGCGATCTAAAAGAGTACAATATCTCGGAAAGCGATCGTGGTCGATATCAGCCTTCGTGCGTAATGTTTCGACGCTCAGTTAATGATCGTACGAAATCGCGGCTTCCTTACGATAGAGCTGTCATATTCAAAAACAAAACATTCTTTACAAACATCGAGGGCAAAAACGTCAAAATGGTTGGAGCACCCAGCACAATCAATACCCAGAAAGATGTCGAAATATTGCTTCAAATTGTGGATACTTTAACACTGCAAAGCCCGCTCGTTGAGCCGACAAATACAATGCAATAGGCAATATTGCCAAACGATTAATGGCACAAACAAAAATTCATTACAACCATTTTACGTATGCCCACGACCACATTATAATTACTTTAGTTCGATATAAATACTTTTCTAAATTTAAGTTATAAACCAAAATAGCTTAAATTGCAAAACTCGATAAGAGTTTTCAAATTGATTAATCGAAAAATTGTAATTGAATTACTTAGGCATGTATGGTAATATTAAACAATCACTTGAGTGCACAGATTTTATTTATATCGTTGCAAAATTATTGTACATTGTAATTCTTAAGCAGATATCAGAATAACATTTAATTGCATACATACGGTTAAACTTCCAATATAGAGTTCACAATTTTGCAAACATAATGCAAAAAAAATGCAAATAATTTTGTAACGGTATATGTATATTATATAGCATATGAATTTGTGTATGTATAAACTATAACTTGCTAGGATTATAGTTAAGTCGGGGTCCATATTTATAAAAAACTTATGAAAAAGTTTTACAAGTTCGTTGAACTTTTTAATTACAAAAACACTAGTGCGTAGGTGTTGAAAATCAAATACTTCACAATGAACTTGACTTATTTTATTTAAAAAGTTTTTTTTTTTTTGCCAAGAAGGGAGAAATTAAAATATAACGCTATATGCATAAATATGTGTAGCTATTACATATATTAAATATAACATATATAAAGTCTTTCAGAATTAGTGAAAAGAAAAGAAAAAAAGAAACCATCTCACATTTGTTAACATAATTATGGTTATTTTTAGTTACGTAACGTTTAAGTATTTTATTATAGCCATTAATAGCCAACTTAAATCTAATTTATAAATTTCTACACGAAAAAATCAAGCGGTTGGTACAATAAACCAATTTTTTATGTTTATATAAAAGTTTTACTTTGATGCCTATAACTCGCTTGGCAGAGAGAGAGAGAGGTGAAGTATGAAGTGTTTGTTTTTTTAACTACTGCTGAACTTTAAATTCATTAACAACGCGAATTTTTCGAAAAGGCCATAACTATTGCACAATATTTGTTTAAATTGAAAATATCAATTTTACAAATTTTAGGTATATGTATCAAAATCGGTATATCTGAAGTGATTAGCGAGCCCTTAAAGGACCAGTAAAATTTTGTGTTTCTTTAATCTATTAAATACCCATCATATGTAATTGCTTTACTTTGCTAATAAAGAATATCTGAGTAAAAATCACTGTTTTTCTTTAACATTTACGAAGTGGCAACGCTTTGTTCTGTTTTCATCGGGATGGTAACGCCAAAGGAGTGCGTTCGGCGACAGAGTGGTATATATATTTGGAATTTGAATCATATATCGGTTTTATATACATCTGTAGGTGGGATGAATCCATTACAGGGACTTGAACTTCTTAGTAGAGATTTTATAGGACTTATTATGTAGTCCTACAATACTAGTGTTATACTTTTGATGGGAGCTTTGATCTTTTAAGAATTTTATTAGCACAATACGATTATAATATTGCTTATTTTTCCAAAATTGCGTACATGTCTTAATTATTATTTAATTTCAATTTGTTATAATTTGCTAAAAAAATAGGAAAAAGTGATTTGAATAAGACTGTGTGTGTTGTCCAACACTACTTATATTTGTTATTTTGTATTTGTTTTATTAAACTATTAGTATAAATAAAGATTAGAAAATACTTATTGGAATGTTTTTATTTTTGCAAATTTTAGTTATGAAAGGATAACTTACAAAATAGCCCGATTTAGTCCTTATTATATTGTTTTATATACTTTTTCGAACTGAAAAGCTGGTGAACGTGGTCTTATTGGATTTATTAGACATATTGCAATGTTGCTTTCTAGATTAACAGAACTTTCAAGTCGTTTCTCCGGATACAACTACAGTAATATCATATTATCTCGCAATGTACTTGGCACCGAATTACTTCATCCGCGTTCTTAATCTTCTATTAGCTTTATATTTTATCATTCCGCATTATCTTTTGGTTTTATTTTGTGGACTTAAAAAGATTGTTTTTACCTCAGGGCCTGGATTCGATATTTACATCAATGGTATGGGTTCTTCTATTCCTTCTATTACTTTCTGTAGAACGACTTCCACAAATGGCAACAGGTAGGTATTTTCTTTTTATTTATTGTTCTTGCTTCTCCCTTATGGTTTATAGATGAAAAATAAAACAAAATGGTTATAAAGTAGTGCAATAAAAAACATATTTAAAACTTTTAATTTCAAATATAAGTATATTGTAAAATTTATTTCGTTTCTTTTTATATTGGTTTTATAGTAAAGCATGTAAAAAAATACCATTAAAATTTAATTTATTATTATTTTTTTTATTAAATATCTTTGTTAATTTCTTTTTTGAAAATGCTAAATAATTTGAAAATACTATATAATAATGTATATATCAGCTTTTAACATTGAGGGCAAATATTTCAGAACGCTTTGTATATAAATTATTATAAATTTATAAAAACAATTATGTGACTTTTTACTATTCTCCAAAAATTAATGCTTTACAATAAGATTTATATAATTTTTTCCATTTGGTAAATCTAATATCAATTTATTTTTGTTTAACGTGTGTAAAATATGTATATAATAATAATTATTATTTATATTGTAAAACAAAGAAAAAATAATTTTGTGTTGTTGGATCCAATACCAACCAAATTTCTTTAGCGTATGAACATTAATTATATTCTAACTCTTTTTAAATTAAAAATACACAATACCGAATTGTAATTAATACTTATGTAGTTATAGAAATACAGATGTATGTGTGTCATTAAACATAGGAGCATAGTGTTAATATAAAACTTTGTTAAAAATAGCTGAGCCTGCCAATGTCTACACATAATTGTTTACCTATGATATTTTTGTTGTTGTCCTATCAATATTAAAATACTCTCCAAAACAATAACAATTAATTGATTTTGCATATAGGTTAAAGCATTCAAACTTTGAATATACACGTTGCTAAATACTTGACATAACATTATTTAATTTCGTAAATATTGATAAAATGTACATAGTATGCATATACATATATTAAAAAAAGCATTTACATCTCATTTGTGATTTTTTATTGCAACACTATTGCAGGTTGTTAAGTTCATATCACTGTATAAGCCTATAAAATTTATACAATGGTTCATATGCGTCAGAATATTAATGTTTACAAAAAATGATGATGTTTAAGCTTGTATGTTGGTAATGAACAAGAAAATATATATACTTAGTTTTATTTATCACGAAAACAATTACAAGTTTAATAAAAATATATTTTATATTATAATTACAAATATGTACATATACATATGTATGTATGAGCGCCAGCCTATTTGTTCCATCAATAGGTGCATGTAGTTTATATGGTTGCATTAAGTGTTGAATTTCGCTATCAGTTCGCTATGTATATAATTGCGATAATGTGAAAGCCATCAGTTTTCAAATAAATAAATGAGAACCAACGAGATAATCGCAATAAAAATAGCCACTTTGAATTTGCAGCTGTCAGTCTGTAAAAGTATGACCAGAAAATACTGACAATTAAATAATATATGTATATATTTACAACAATTGAAAACAGGAGTTTAAAAAAGAAAGACGAAAATCAAAAATTTATCCAAAAATCTTATTTGGCCACAAATTTATAAAAATATATTAAAAATGGACGTACTGGTGTTTGGTTCAGCAATTGTTGATTTTGTCGCGTAAATACATCCATATATTCATTTTACTAACAATACCAGTTTTACCAAATACCAAATTTATTTATAGATACGCCAACCGGCTACCAAAAGCTGGTGAGACACTACATGGCCACAAATTCATGACAGGATTTGGTGGAAAAGGTGCAAATCAATGTGTTGCGGCAGCACGACTTGGTGCAAGTACAGCAATGATAGCAAAAGTACGAAACAACACACATACATACATGTACCAAATAGAATAAATAATCAAAACAATTTTTTTTTAGTTGGGAGATGATACTTGGGGTGCCAATTACTTAGAACAACTGCGGTCAGAGAATGTGAATGTTGACTTTGTCCAGCAGTGTAAAAAAGAGGTTAGTTATTAAAATGTATCTTATCTAAAAAATATACTATTTTATTGGAATATGACAGACGACAGGTATTGCGCAAATATGTGTCTCAGATAGTGGCGAAAATCACATAGTTATCGTTGTTGGAGCAAACAATTTATTGAGTGGAGAAGATGTCAAGCAAGCAAAAGCGTTGTTCGATAAGGCCAAAGTAAGAAAATAAACAATGAATATGGATTTTTGATTGATAAATAAATATATATGTATATTCCATTGCATATTAAAGATACTAATTTGCCAGTTTGAGACACCACTTAATGCAACATTAGAAGCTTTGCGTGCTTTTAACGGCATATCTATACTTAATGCAGCGCCGGCAGTGGAAGATATACCAGTTGATCTAATTAAATCCGCTACCATATTATGTCTTAATGAAACTGAAGCAGCTATAACAACGGGCTCTGAGCAGATATCAACCCTAACGTAATTATGCAAATTTATATCGACAGTAGTGTGCTATTTAAAATAGAATTATTATTTCTGTTATAACTAATATTTAAAATATTGTCATGGTTCAAGGCAAGCAAGAGTAGCAATAGAACATCTGCTAGAAATGGGCGCTAATAATGTAATTATCACATTAGGCGCAATGGGTGCTGTTTATGCTAGACGTGAAGAACCAGAGACATTTATACATGTACCTGCAGTTAAAGTGAATGATGTTGTTGATACAACCGGAGCTGGTGATGCTTTTATCGGTGCATTAGCGTACTATATGGCGCATTACCCAGAATTCCCATGGCATCAACATATAGGCGCTGCTAACCAAGTTGCTGCCTACTCTGTAAGACACCCGGGTACACAAGCGAGTTTTCCGAAACTAGAGCAAGTGAATAAACAGACTGAATTTGTGTGGTTTGAGATATAAACAATTGTATAAACACAGCATGTTAACACAAATTTTCTTATTTTATTTACAAAAATTTATTAAATAAAGTTTGGTTTTACTCGGCAATTTTACATATTTTTTTGCATCGGTTAGACGCAAAATTTATGTAGGTATGAACATTATCGATTCACATATATGCCTGCGGTAGTATCATTTCTTTCCCGATTTCTTGATTCCTCCTCCCACCAATGGACCCTTTTGTGACGCACGCTGTTTCGCTTGGTCAAGCGCTTTTTGTGCTTCCTTTTGTTTTTGTTTGAAAGCAATCTCGTCGTCATCCAACTCCTTGCTCTCTTTTTTCGGTGCCTTCAGTGGTTTCTTTTTTCCACCCTCGCGGCCAGACATTTCGTTGCAGTTTTACTAAAAATTGGTATGAATATGAATATTAAATTTTTAGTAGCCAACATTTTTATACAAATATAATATGCCCAAAAGTGTATCTAAATTTACCTAACTCGTGCAGTCACGTTGACGAAAGCAATACAATTTGAGCTCTATAATTTGTGCCTTTTTCTTTCGATTCGATTTTTGACGTTTTATCGGTAAGGGTGCGATGTGATTTTACAATTTTTATCGACTATGGAGTTTTCAATAACAAAAGTTTCACATAAAGAATGATCGAGACATGCTTTTAGACATCACTTGCACCACGTAGAACCACGTTCAATGGCATAATATATAATAATATTTGCTCGTTCACACCTTATTTTTTTATTATATACAAAAACACAAATACTGCATGAAAATTACGTTTGCAACCTTACATTTCTTTGAGATTAGCGAAATGGTATAGAAAGTAGTACTGCCATGAAACATATAGTCGTACCAGAGATCTGCATTAATACTTCCATAAATTAATCAACCAAATTGCACCCTGTCTCACTAGGCTTAGTATCACAGGGTAACTAAAATCAATGGTATTTTATCACATTAGCCCATATCCAACTGTTCCACTTATTCGCACAGCTACGAACATATTCGGAGGCTCATTCGTTTTCTTTCATTTCAAGTGTAACCGCACGAGCTCGAGCACGCGACTTGTCAACGCCGAGTGGGAAAATCTGATTTTCTTCAAAAGAATTTTTTACTGTGTCTCTTTTGTAAGAAGTATACAAAGCAAAAAGGTATTGTATATTTTTACTATATTATCCACTTAATTTATTAATATCAAGTAAAATAATATGGTTATTTAATGGGTGAATAGGAAATGTGTTTGAAAAAGTGACCGGAAGATGAAACGTTAAATCATCTCTACTGCCTTACTAATGTGCCATTGATTTTTCTCTTAATTCGCGATACCACTCGGCACTTCGCTTGTCGTTGGTTATGTAATGAACTTTTTAATTTGCACAATTCAACGAACGTAATTTTAAAATGATTAAAACAACGTTTTATAAAAGGATTTAGCTTTTATAAAATCAACTAAATCAACAAATATATAAATTTTAATGTTATTTGCTATTTGTCTGCAAGCACATACATACACATATGTATATATTTAATTAGCCAAACAACTGGGAGCGGTAACAAAATTGCTTGTGTAGCGAAAACTTCCTCGCTTCCCGTCAGTCCGTGTTGTCCAACGTTAAAAGTGTTCAGTCACAAGGTAAACTTTCATGCTTGTGATTCCGTTTTCATAATTCCTAACCTAGAAATGCTAAAACAAAAATAATCTTCAAGAATTTCGGAGCGAATCGAGCGTTTGTGCATACATAAATACGCACACACATTCTTACGTAGCTGCGATCAAGATATGCTTGTATTTGTAGGCTCTCTGGCAAGTGGCAGCCAACTTGGCAGCTACTTGCTTAGCACAGCGTTATTGAGCGGCGTTAAACCAAAAGAGATTGATGCCATCTTTTACCGTGTCATCCACATTACGACTCATATTCTCTTAAAAATATACAATCAACAAATTATTCATACACTTTCTATATGTATATGGCATATTGGAAACGCGTACAAATGTACATGAGCTCTTTCACTAAATGTGTTTGGAAAGTTTAAGTTTTATTTGACTCAGCGGTTTCCTTTAAAAACTCTTTTGCTCTTAGCAGTGCAACCTTCGTACGTACACATATTTATTTATATACATATGTATGTATTGTGTCGTCAAGTCCGTAAAATTTCCAAATACAATAACTATTCTATTGAAAGTATTGAATATGTTTCATGTATACCTTGCGGGTACTTGTGGTGGTCCGCTTATCGCAAACACTAAAAAAAAACTATGTTTTAAGGTCATCCAATGCGATATATATATGTATATGTGCAAATATTGTACTTTTCTAAAAGCTGCATACAGACATATATTTTTGTTGTGTCTACTGCGCCTTAATGATTTATTTGTAATTGTTGTGCGTCCTGGCAGCACAGTGCAGTGCTTTTATAGAATACCTGGAAATGCTAAAGGCTAACGCTAGAGCTCAGGTACTTGGTTCAGACAAATGTATGTATGTATAAATAGAATTCCAATTGCTATTTATTACCTGCGTATTGTGTAATCGAATGCAGCTGTTTGATGCCAACTGTATTGCCGGTCAAAGTTGAAATTTTCAGTTTGATCTGCATTATATCTCAATAAGAGTAAAAGTAGTTAGGCTTCAAAAGTAGATAAAACTGGTTTCAACCAAATTCTGCTAAATAAATATGACAAAAGAATCGTCAAGCTTTATTTACATATGTACATAAGTAAATAAGTAAAGAGTGCGGTCCAGCTATTTCGAAGAAGATGCTTATACGGACTCCATGGCAAAGTAATTTAATAGTGTTTTTTTTTTTAACTTCTTTGAGTAACCGGATATCTTCAGTTATTCTGAAGAGAAATTTAGGATGAGCTGCGATTAGCCTGTTGAAAATCGTAAAAAATGCAAACGCTAACGCATGTAATTAACTTGTTTTAAATATTAGAAAACTAGCAAATACCATGTGTTGAGTGTCTGCATTATGTGGGAAAGGTTTGAATTATCTTTTTTGAAAATAAAACTATAAATTAAAAATAAATAAATAAAGTGATAACAAAATACAATAAAAGCTCGCCGTAATACGAAACTATTAATTGTTGCTGGATTGTTTATAGTAGTACATAATAATAATAACTTTTACTTTTTTTTTGTATCATGGTCGATAAAATATATGAAATGTGACAATACACAAACAAATATATGAAACTTCTGGAACTATTTGTATAAACAAATAAATTAAAAGAGTTGAGTAAGTGCTGTCACAATAATAATTTAAGTGTCAGATACTTGAGTTAAGCTTAGATTTTAATGACTTACTTAAATATGATAACAATTTAATCACTTAATCTCACAGCCCGGTAGTTGAAACACTATAAAGTCATAAGAAAATTTAAATCAATTTAATAAAAATTTTATAATAATTTCTTATAATATATAATTTATTTTATTTGTTATAATATATACATTTTTTTTACTTTTTTTATGTATAAATATACATGTATAAAAAAGAATACAAATAATTTTATTTATTTACCAATGAAAAACGAAAATCAATTACATTGCCAACACGTCCTTGATCTCTTACACATTCTGCCCTCAATTTCAAGTTGTCAGAATGTCAACGCTATCAACGCTTTCGTGCTCTTCATAGACCACTTTCATGCCTCCGCGGCGATTAGCACGCATCGGTGCAGTTAAGAAAATGCGTATTAGTTGCACTTTTTCGCTTATTTTAATGTGGAATTATGGCAACTTGCCAAATTAAATGCAAATTGCAACAACACCAGCTTTGCTAAAATTTGTATGTACACATGGTTTGAAAAAACGGCAAGTTAGTGAAGTTGAAAAATTTCAATGGCATGACAGCAAGCGTCTGAGCGTTCTTCATATTCCAGCAATATGGTTTTGCCAAAACCGGTTTTAAATGAGTTCATTGGCTTCGATTTCAATAAAGCTTAACGCTTTTGGTTAAAGTAATCAAATGCTCAATCCAATACAATTAACGCAAACTAAATTATTTTTGTATGCAATTGCAAATAGAAATTTTTTCTTTCTCAAAAGCTTTCAACAGCAGTTTAAGGTTTATTATTACAATTTTTTTTTTTTTACTATATAACACTTCTTAAAGAAAATTAAGATACAAAATATTGAAACTAATTTAAATTACAAAACAGTTTTCTCTAAATTAAAAACATTTTTTTATTGATTTCGACTTAAACAAATATGCAACACTCTATCCTCTTTTATGAAAGCCTGTGAAATAAAAACGGAATAGTTTTGTTTGTATAATTGGTACAGAAAGCTATGGACAAAATAATCCCTAAAGCAGAGAAATGCAGTGGTCGGTGAAGTGAAAAGTTTGTTTATTACGTTTCGTGATACAAAACAATGGTCGTACGTCCTTATTAAAAAAAAAGGTTTAAAAGACAAAAAAAAATATTTTTTTTGAAATTCGGTATAAAAAAAGTTTTACAAAAAAAACAAATAGTTATTTCAGTTACGACAGTTACAGTTCGACTGTAACGATTATATTTCAACTATGAATACAATTTCACAGATTTTTATGCCCTGAACAGCAACCAATACTCATATTAAGTTAGTAGTATCCGTAACGTCGGAGACTCCATAAAAAATATGTATGTATATAAATGATCAGCGTGACGAGCTTAGTCGATTTTGCCTTGTCCGTCTGCCTGTTTTTTCAGATATCGATCTAAAATTTTGTACACTTTCTTTTTCTCTTAGAAGCTGCACATTTGTCGAAACTGCCGATATCGACCCACTATAGCATATAGCTGCCATACAAACTGATCAAGCAAAATAAAGTCCTTGTATGGAATATTTTTTTGACAAGATATTTTCACAAAATTGATCTGGATTATTGTCGAAGGCAACGCTATAATCTTCGACCAAATTTTTTGCATCAAAACTTTTTATTTATGAAGGGTATTACAGCTTCGGTACAACCGAAGTTAACGCTTTTTCATTTTTAAGTATATTTTAATAAAGAAACTTCAATTTCTTTTTTTTCTGATATCACAATTAAGTTGTTTTAAAGTAACCCTAAAATTTGACCACTTCTGTACAATAAATGCTTCTACAAGTATTTTCTCGCAAAAAAAATCTTTTTTTTCACACAAACACATATTATTTATGCGTTTAAAAAATACTAGGGTCGCCAGTGGTCGAAATTCAACCAATAGAAAATACAATTTATTAACAATGTTAATAGTATTTAAATTTTATTGAAGAATTTGAACAAAATATAAAGAAAGTTGTTGAATTATATAACTAACAACATTCATTTTATTTTGGTGAGCTAGTTGTTTGATAGTTACATTTTTTACCATTTTTTCCAAGGTTAATTAGTTGGTTGAATCCACAGCAACAGAACTTCAATTCGAGAGATAATTTCTTTGTGTGTTTTGACGATATCCCTTTACTTCTTTTATTATTGGTGAGTTTATTTTTACTTTCAATTTGTAAACAAAATTGTTTACATAATTTGTACTTTCGGTAGGCGATATTTATTGCTAATCAGCCATTCATACAATTAATTAAATTATTTTGGAGGTGTAGTGTCGTCGATGCGCACACATACATCTATTTCATCATGCCTTACCATAAAGCGCTTACAAGGAGAGCACAGAGACAAAGAAATAGAGGCAATTTGCAATTGAGTAGAACACGAAATGTAATTAATACTAAACATTTTAATTTAATTGAAGATGATGATAATGTTGATAATAATTCAGTTCCTTTCAGTTCCGCCGCCTAATTTTCTTTCATATTGATTCTTTGAACTTGGTTTGTAGGCATTGTTTAGCTAAGCATTTTGTTTCAGAGTCTATAATTCGTGAAACAAATTCCTTCAGTAAGGCCAAATTCCATCTTCCAATATTAACACAAAATGGTTTTTTAGTTCATAATATGACGGTCTCACATCAAATGATAGAAATATAAAGAAAAGGTCCAAAAATTATTTCGACAATATTCGAAGCTACAATTCGGCCTAGGCTATGGTCAGTTCGGAACAATACTTGAAATTTAATGTGCGTTAAACATGTAATTGTTATAGAATTCAGTGTTGCAACACGCAATTAAAAGTGAAAAAATCCGCCGTAAACGATACACAATTATCCGATATAGATATGTATTTGCAACTTATACAGAACAGCGACGAAATGTACTTCTGTATACGACTGTATTAAGTGTGCCGCGCAAAGGAGAAATAACATCGACCAATGAAAACGCGCCACCGCGCTAGTAGTTGTTGTAGTCGCTAAATTTGCGCCAACGCATTTTTACCCGTGTAACTTGTGCACTTCTGCACGTCTTCTCCGTAATTATATATATATATGTATGTAGATATACTAATTTTACAACATACCAAAAGCTCTTGTCAATCAAAAAAGGAAAAAACCAATCCATACATACATACGTATGTATGTACTTCTGTACACATTCAAGTTGACCGTGAAATATTTTTTTTATCTCGCACGTCTTCAATGCGCAGTACGCATATTATCTTATCATAGGACCGCTGGTTACAGAAGAACCCAGAAAAATTATGGAAAAAATAGGATAGGAATTAGAAGTAGTCATACATACATACATATAGCAGCAGTTTGTCGCCAAGGTGGAAGGCATGCTTATGCTAAAAAATTTGAAATTTCTTAGCATTATTTAGCATCTCAGTCTTATGTTTTTTCGTATATTGCTGCTAACGGTAGAACATACATGCATCTATATACATATATATACTCATTTGATTGAGTAGTCATATGCGTCGGACTTTAGTTTCTACAACCATACGTACTTGTACGAATTGTGCAAATAAATGATTTTTAATACACAAACACATACATACGTTTACGAGCGTGTGTAGAATACCACATACATATGTACATGTCTGCGCAAATGTTACGTCAAATTTAAAATTTCGTGTGCGAGACGATCACATGCCCCTTGGCGCCCCACACACAAGCGCATATTCAGCTGTATATATTTATGTATGTGTGTGTGCTCGTGCTGTTGCTGTTTCGCGTCGCTAAGTTAATCTCTCCTACAATATACTTACCGACTACATACAGTTACTTAGTAATAATTCTTAAGCAAATATAACTTCTGTGAGTGATATTGCGCTTCTTTTAAAATCAAAGATTACGTAAATATTAAAATCAAAAAAAATACCTAATAAACTAAACGCTTATCGTTGCGGCAACAAGCGTCCTTATCAGCGATGTGCAAGTTGGCTATTCATTCGTCAATGCTTTTGCGCTGACATCTGCTCAGCATTGACGCCACCCACCCACAAACGCCTATTTTTTTCATCTTATCATTAACTCGAATACTTATTTATAAGTGATTTGAATGAAGCATAGAACGAAGAAAGCAATTGCTTTTTTGCGGCCAAAGCCAAATCACCAAAGATTTTTTTTCTAAATTTAAATTTAATTTTAGTTCAATGCCATTATTATTGTTTAAATGCTGTAAGAGGCATTATGTAATAAGACGCTGTATGTATGTACATACATTTGTTTGTATGTATGTGCTTATGTTTCTTCTTGCGTGTTGGCATTGAGCAAAACACGAGCGCTATCTGCTTGGTACAATACCAAGTTGGCGTTAGCAACAAATTGCTGGCAACCCAAAGCCGCTGAGTGGATTTTTATGTAGCAAATCGGAAAATCGGAGAAGAATTCTGTTCACTACTTTTTTGCTTTATAATTTTTGTCTTATTTTAATTTTTTTTTTTCAATTTTGTTTTAATTTTATCATTAACAGTTTTTTTTTCTTAAATTTTTATTTTTTTATTTTTGTGTCTTAAATCTTTTTTTCTTAAAATTTTTAAATTTTTTTTACACATAAATTCAAAATAAATGATCGTGGGCATAGACAAAACGTTGTCGCAATTGTCAAACTGACAAACTCTTTCACTCGTGTATGTGTGGAAAGCTTTCGATGCCACCTTTCTAAGCATACACATGCATTTAGATATATGTGTGAGTGTGCATGTATTTTCACCAATTTCACGCGCTCATTTACCAGCGTTTTGCTATAATGTGTTATAAAACCAAAAGTGCCAATGTCTTGTCGGCGTTGGCCTTCAGCGAGAAGCCGTAATGTAACAGAAACATATAAATGTAGAAAAAAGCTCATTTTTCGCTCTCACACTCTCTTGTGTGTGAAAGAAAGCGCAGGCGTTCCCTTGACCGTTCGCTGGCTGCCAGCCGCTCACTTCCGTGCGTTTGCGCTCTCACCCTCCTCTATGTACATAGAGGGTGCAAAAACTCATTGAAGAGCTTTTTTTTTTTCTAAGTTTTGTTTTACTCAACGTCGCCATGTAGAATTTCCAATTTTCCATAAGCAATTCAGCGGCCGTCCGGTGCAGACCTAAAGCTTGAAAGAGGAAGAAGTGGGCAATAGCAATTAACAAATTTTTGTTACTGTGATAAATTATACAAAAACAAATAGTACGTAATACAAAATATATAAATATTTTTTTTTTTTTAATTTCACATTTGAAGAAAAAGGTGTTTTGAAATGAAGTTTGAATGCAATTAAACTGTGTTATGGCAAACGCTTAATAATTAGTACAAATTAAAGCGAAAAATTTTATGCAAAAGTGTTTTGAGTTTGCGAAAAAACTCGACTGAAATGGCAAAGCGTGCAATTATCTAATACCGAATGCGTTCTTGAGTGAGCTTTAAACTGCTCAAAATAATAATAATAAATCTAAATTATTAATAATTAAAAAATTTGGAGAAATGTGAAGACATTATGCACTGCCTTATTAATAGTGTTTTTGTTAGTGAAAATTTGTTAAAAATTTATAGAAAAAAAAACTGATATTAAAAAATTGTGTGCCCTGAGGCAATGAAACTGTTATGCAACCACATATGAGACTGTAGAGGCTTCGTGAAAAAAGTACGCTCGTTTGTTCGGTCGATCATCGTTCCATTGCTTGCTCGGCGCTCGATTTCTTATATAACAACAACAGTGTGCCAACGCCACAATCAGCTAACCTCGTATTGATAAAAAAGCGGCTTATGTAATGTAACGGTTATTATACAACAACACAGGGATTCACATATGCAGTTGAATGCAACGTCCCAAGAAAAGCATTTTACGCCCTTTGTATATTAGATTATATTGCACGAATATGTTTAAAATGATTTTGCAAATATTTTATCTGGCTTTATTTCAGTTAGCCAGAATGTAGCACCGTCTTCGTAGAGTCTTCTGCATTAAGGTGATTTTTAATTATCGATTAATTTTTTGTTCTTGTTGGCCACGTGTTGCCACTTAGAGCCAGCATTCGATATTGTGACGTAACAATGAAGTGACGCACAAATATTCCGATATCATAGCTATTAGTTAATATACATACATACATTGTACATCTATAAGAATATTTGTAGTTACACCCAAGCATACTTATAACAAAAATATTAATGTTTGTAGAAACAGACCATAAAGTCGGATAAAACTAGCGCAATGCCATTATTTAAGTGTATGTAAATATGCACATATACACATACATACATATGTTTGTATGTTTGCACTTAAACCACATATTAGATAACAGCTTTGGACGCAGTGCGTATGAGTAACATCAGCTGCCCTTCGTTAGGATAAAGTGTTAGTGAGGCTGCGTGGCGTATGGTTAACATGAATAAAAAGAAATTTCAATGCGCACATAAAGTGGTGGGCATATAATTATAAATAATATAATATATCTTTCTTTAGCAATCGAATTGAACAGTAATCATTGATAATTTTTTTTAATATTGTAATTGTTAGAATTTGTAAAATAAAACTCAAATACAGAGTTCACAATTTTTTACTTCGAGATGCAAACATTGAATTACTTTGAATTTATTAACCGTTAGAGTGGGCTATTTTTGAAAAATTCGTACTTTCTACATAATTTACTCTATTCATTATCTGAAAACAATATTTGGTTTTAAATATTGTAAATGTTTATATTTTTTAATAATTTTTATTGCTTAACTATTTACTTATAATTTTAATTTACGCAAGTTGTAGACAAAGTAAAGTCGTTTCTTAAGTTAAAATAAAATTATTTATTTTACGGTTAGAAAGAAACGACATTAAGGGCGAAACCGGAAAATTCTTATTAAAAAATATTACTTTTTGGCTTATCGAAGACCATATATGCATGTCATTCTACATTTATGTGGTTCAAAACTAAGCCAATAGCAATTTTTGTTACGACGGTCACTAAACGTCTTGATTTTTTGTGATACTTTAGTAACACTTACGTGCAATTACAAAAAAAATTACATATTATTATTCTTATAATTTATAAATGTTATACATAATAGCGATGACGGTTTATTGACATTTCTAAGAACATTTCTAAAGGGTAAAATATTGAAATTTTTGAACAAATTGGAATTACAGGTTAACCTTAAAAAAGTAATTATTAATTATTATTAAAATTTAAATGTAAATTCATGGGTAGAACTGCTATTAATCATATATATATATAATATACTGGTTTAGCTAAAAAAATTGTCCATTCCAAATGTTCAAACGAAATTCCACAACAACAAGCGTCATAATGCAATTTATTCTTTTTGGCAACAATAATATAATTTATATATATGCACATATATACATATGTATGTATATACAAAGTGCGTTCCAAAGTAAACAGTAAAAACGTAACAAAGTAAACTCTAGTGGCGCCATCTATATGTCGACTAGTGCGTTAGAATCTGCTATCCTTTATCGAGCCAACTTTAAATTTTGTTTTAAAATTGGTAAAACTTTTACCGAAACGTTTCAATTGATGAAACAAGTTTATGGCGATGATTGCCTATTCCGTAGCAGAGTGCACGAGTGGTTTCAACGTTTTCAAAGTGGTCGTGAAGACATAAATGAGAAATGAGCCGAAACCCAAAAAATCGCGCCTGGAGAAGTCAAAAGGAAGACAGTGCTGATTTGTTTTTATGATTCCAAGGGTATTGTCCACAAAGAATTTGTTCCACCCGGCCAAAACGTTACTGCGGTATTCTACCTTGGAGTTTTGAAGCGTTTGGTGCGCCGTATTCGACGTGTTCGGCCCGAATATCGCGAAGATAGAAGTTGGCGTTTGTTGCACGATCGACGTTTGTGGGCGATTATTTGACCAAAAATCACATTTTAACAATCAACCACTCCCCGTATTCATCTGATATGGCACCGTGCGACTTCTACCTTTTCGGAAAAATGCATTTGCCGATGAAAGGAAAGCTTTATGCAGACGTGAAGGCCGTTCAAAAGGCTTGCACCGGCATACTGGCGGCCATACCGGGCAACGAGCTAAAACACTCATTCGACATGCTTTTGGACCGTGCAAAAAGCTGTATTAAAGCAAAAGGAGACTAGTTTCAATAAAATTAATTAATTTTGCCGATAAAACCATTTGTTCTGTCTTTTTTTTAAAGTCCTGTTTGCTTTGGAACGCACCTTGTATGTTTTTTATTTATAATAATTACTTCTGCTTACATACATAATTTATCCTTACAAAATTTAAATTTTTCCAAGGACTTGTCGGTCAATCACAGTATTGTTGATTTGCATAATAAAGTTTATTGAATTATTCACTTTCTCGATAACACATATATTTGACATATATATTTTGCCCAGCAAATGTGATATTTTGCAAATCAAATATTATAAATTTATATTTTCAGAAAAAAATAAATAAATACCGCAAAAAATAACGAGTTATACATTTTTTTTGCTTTTCTTCAACTCACTTGAATGAGTTCTAAATTTAAACAAACATGTGCACATGTGTATTCAGGTACATACAGAGTGTGGTCTTACCGTCAGTTGATGTTTTTTGGCAATAACTTATATCATTTAATACAAAATATATCATTTAATACAAAAAAAAAATAAATAATTAGTTTTGTGGGAATAACACATTTATTCATATTTACATATGTATATTTTAAAAGTAAACAATTTCGATTTATGACTTTTTTAAAATAAATTTCCTAACACACGCATATGTATGTAAAAATTTGTAACTGTCAAGTATCCGATTCCCACTGCGCTAACTGTGCGATTATCTGAGTCAATGCTTGTGCAAAGAGGCGTAAACAAAAGCATTTAATTATTATCATAAATTGCAATTTAATACCAATGTAATATAAACCTTAAATTGAACTTTGAAATTTTATACTATGTAGATACATAGTACATATTTATGTTTGTATAAGAAGTAATTTTTATAAAAAAACAAATACCAAAAGCTTTAGATTTTCTAGTTAGAATTTGAATATGAGAAAATTTAGAAAAAATATAGTAGAGTTTAAATTTTAATTTAAAAAAATAATAAAAAAATATAGTAAAGAATTAGTGCATTGAGTCACACTTAGCAACAAGACTGAACTTCCATAAACCAGTTTTGCTCGAACCACTTTTTCAAATGCGAACTATTGTAGGTTGAGTTGTCTTTGTATTATATAAACATTTGCACACATACAAATATGTATGCATGTGTAATAAATTAAAACTAAAATCCTAAGTATGCTTATCGTAAAAAGTACCGATTTTCGCGCTAATAAATGCGTTTGTGTGAGAGACGAGGCCATTAAGCGTGTGTCTCGTAGGCGACGTGTGGCGCTCGCGATCTGTTTTTATATCTGTGATGTCATGAGTGTCGCGTATTTCGCTGATATCAATTTATAATAAACAATAAATTAAATTTGCGCGTGCCATTTCCAGTTTTATTGTTTTTGGGAAAAATTGTTTTACTATTAATGCCATTTTCAAAATTTCTACCTAAAATATTTGTATTTTTCTTAATTACAGCAAAATGGCCAAGGAAGGTAAAGATCCCTTTGGATTCGTCAAGGATTTCGCTGCGGGTGGTATCTCCGCTGCCGTCTCAAAGACTGCTGTTGCACCCATTGAGCGTGTGAAACTGTTGTTGCAGGTTCAACACATCTCAAAACAAATCAGCGCCGATCAGCGTTACAAGGGCATGGTTGATTGCTTTGTCCGCATTCCAAAAGAACAAGGTTTTGCGTCATACTGGCGTGGTAACTTGGCCAATGTTATCAGATACTTCCCAACTCAAGCTTTGAACTTCGCCTTCAAGGATGTGTACAAACAGGTGTGTGTTACGTCGGGCATTAGTTTGACAATTAATTGAAATTTTTATGATATTTATAAAATTTTATATTATTTGTCTTTTTATGGTAGGTTTTCTTGGGTGGTGTTGACAAGCACACTCAGTTCTGGCGTTATTTCGCGGGTAACTTGGCCTCCGGTGGTGCTGCTGGTGCCACTTCTTTGTGCTTCGTCTACCCCTTGGACTTTGCCCGTACCCGGTAGGTTATCATATTCAATAATTACTAAAAAACAGCAATCCACAAAAAGTAAGGAAAGTTATACACATACTTGTATGTATGTGTTTTTTAAATTCATCAAAAAATGGCAATTTATGCAACTAATTTTTAGTGGGTCGCTGTAGTAACATATACATACATATGGATATCATAAAATTTTTTGAGTTTCTAATACTTTTGTAATAATTAATGCAATCGCTTATTCCTCTTTTCCACACAGTTTGGCTGCTGATGTCGGTAAGGGTGGTCAACGTGAATTCACCGGTCTTGGTAACTGCTTGGCCAAGACTTTCAAGAGTGATGGTCTTGTCGGTTTGTACCGTGGCTTCGGTGTTTCCGTACAAGGTATCATCATCTACCGTGCCGCTTACTTCGGCTTCTACGATACTGCCCGTGGTATGTTGCCCGACCCCAAGAACACACCCCTCTACATCAGCTGGGCTATTGCTCAAGTTGTTACAACTGTTGCTGGTATTGTATCCTATCCATTCGATACTGTGCGTCGTCGCATGATGATGCAGTCTGGCCGCAAAGCAACCGAAATCATCTACAAGAACACACTGCACTGCTGGGCCACAATTGCCAAGCAAGAAGGTACTGGCGCCTTCTTCAAGGGTGCATTCTCCAACGTACTCAGAGGTACTGGTGGCGCTTTCGTGCTTGTATTGTACGATGAAATCAAGAAGGTCTTGTAAAGTAATTAACACCTACTATCTAATTGAGCTAAACAATTATTTAATTTAAATATTAAAATAATAAAAACAAAAAATTAAAAAAAAAAAATACCAACAAAAAGCAGTTACCATACATTATTGAAATAAGCGATATAAATAAATAAATGTAAAACAAAAGGTTGCAAATTGTAACAATACGAAGATAGAGCGAAAAATAACCAACAACAGTAATTCAACAACAACAACACTGATGAATCTTTAGTAAGTGTTTGATCACAAACAAATACGGAAAAGTTAAAAATACAAAAATTAATAAAAATTGTAAAATGATTATTTTTTTAATATTAAGCTAATTAAGTAGAGATATACAGGACCTGTTACCCCTAACATGTCGCAGCTTCCATAATTAATTGACGTTTGACAATTGGCACCAGTCGAAAATTGGCGATTTAATTCGTTTTGAAATGTTTACTCCAGTTAACACACTAATAGGGTTATTTAAATAACAACCCTCGTTCATACATTGTTGCTTTAGCAGCATTACTCAAAATCATAGCTACAACAGCAATAAGCGTGGACTAATATTTTTAACTCGAAGAATTTACGAATTATGCAGGATTGTTCCCTTTGTTCCTATCACCTCTAAAAACTACCGACGTCCTTAATCCCTTCCAGGTTGTTGACAATTACTCTAGGGCTAAATAATTAGGTTTGAAGAGTTGGTTGCTTGCCTTAATTGTTATCGTTCATTTTAGTTTTATCGATTTCATAATTTGATTAACTTTCAAATCTATATCGTTTTCTACAAACTTTCCGTAAACCTGACACATTTGGCCCATTGTTTCATTTTGTTCGTTGCATAATTATTAAATTCAAAATATTTTAAATTCATCACTCTTGAATTTGTAACTGAATATCCAATTTTGCAATGAGTGAAGGAGAAATAAAGAAAGATATATCAGATCCCATGGGATTCCTTAAGGATTTCATGGCTGGTGGCATATCCGCAGCTATAGCAAAAACTGCAATGGCGCCGATAGAGCGCGTTAAATTGCTTTTGCAAGTACAAGCCATATCAAAGCAGATTTCCGCCGAAAAGCAATACAAGGGAATGATTGATTGTTTTGTAAGAATACCCCGTGAACAGGGCTTTTTGTCATTTTGGCGAGGAAATCTGGCCAATGTCATAAGATATTTTCCTACCCAGGCATTGAATTTTGCATTTAAGGATAAATATAAACAGGTAATATTAATTGCCGTTAGTACTCAAACCAACCAATTTTAAATTAATTGTATTATAAAATTGTGAAGGTATTCCTCAGTGGCATAAACAAAAAAGAACAAAAGGGACGCTACTTCTTAGGCAACATACTATCCGGGGGTGCAGCTGGTGCCACATCTCTCTTATTTGTGTACCCCCTGGATTTCGCACGTACTCGGTAGGTAAAAGTTCGTACTTTACCTTTTCTGTGTACTGTAATAAATTATTAAGTAGATCATAGAAATCTTTAAGATTTATTATAACTTAAACTGTAGAATTTTGTTATAAGTAAGCACTCAGATACATGTATTAAGTTAGAGTTTATAATTTTGTATAATAGATTGGCTGCTGACGTTGGAAAGGCAGGACAACGTGAATTCAATGGACTCTTTGATTGTATAAAGAAGATATTCAAAAGCGATGGATTTATGGGATTGTACAGAGGTTTTGTGGTTTCCGTACAAGGAATTATAATGTATCGTGGGGCATATTTCGGTTGTTATGATACTGCTCGTGAGCTGATGCCAGATCCGAAAAATTCACCTATATGGGTAAATTTCTTAATTGCGGAAGCTGTAACCACCTTTGCAGGCATAGTTTCGTATCCATTTGATACTGTACGCCGTCGTATGATGATGCAATCGGGCGTAAAGGCTGGCGAACGAGCTTACAAAAACACGGCACATTGTTGGTTAGTTATTGCTCGCACAGAAGGCCCCTTTGCTTTCTTTAAAGGAGCATTTTCGAATGTTCTACGTGGAACTGGGGGGGCACTTGTATTGGTGATGTATGATGAGATTAAGAAGCTAATGAATTAACATTTTTTATTTTTAAAAATTAACTATCAGCAGAGTTTTATAAAATTTGTGCATTCGAGACATCATTACTCGAATAGTAGTTTTTCATGTATAGGATTTAAATACGACTGTTATTTCTTGAACATGAATTAGTTATCAATCGAGTGTTGAAGCTACGACTGTGAATAATCTATTACAAATTGTATTTTCATGTTCTAAATGAAATCCTTTCTTTTCTTATTAAAATAATTTCTTGTATAATAACTGAATTGTTTTTTTTATTATTATTAAAAAGCGAAATTTTTATGAGTTAAAGCGGATTTAAATATTTCAAATATCGATAACTATTTATCATAAACTCTAACGCTTATCGAAATTATAAAGTCTCAACTAATTGACAGTTAGTTAGTTCACCTGCAAAACAGATGATAAGTGCATGGAATTTCAGTTCGGCTATAAGTTTTTTTCCCACACATTTAAATATATTTCAATTAAACCGTAAAAAATTAGTTCCAAATATGTTGGGTAGACATTCTTTAAAACTACCACGCTTGACAAACATGTGCCCATCATTCTGCACTGCGGCAGCGGAGGCGGCGTCGCAACCTCTTTATAATCGTCCTAAACTTGCTCCAACTGATTACCGCACAGGCGAAGCAAACACTGACTTGCATTCTAAAGTGCATGAAGCCAAATTTTACACTATTGCACCAGAAATTAAGAAACAACTGTTTAGCGGCGGAGGACTTCCACGACAGTACGATCAACAAGTAAAAACATTTACCGAGACTTGTCTTATGGTGCGACCGGCCGGCTTAGAGTTAATAAATTATATCCGTAATACGGATTTCAAACGACCAGCGATACGATACGTACTATACGGTGATAATGGTGTTGGCAAAACGTTAACTATGGCTCACGCATTGCACTATGGGTTACAAAACAATTTTATCCTTGTACATGTGCCATGGGTACCTAATTGGATGAAACGTCCAAAAGAAACTGCAAATGCTTCACAAGAAGGTTTTATCGATTTACCTTTCGATGCGGCAGCGTGGTTAGTGCATTTTAAAACACAAAACACAAATCTACTTACCAAGCTACAATTGAAAACAAGTAAAGATTACGTTTGGAGTAAAAGAGAAGCAACTCCTGCAGGTTTTACATTATTGGAATTGGTGGAACACGGCATCGCGCGTATTAAATTTGCGTCCGAAACAATTGCTGCTTTGTTGTATGAGCTGAAACAACATGCTAGTGAAGAAAAATGTAAAGTTATGGTCGCTATTGATGGTTTTAATGCATTTTTTCACCCGGAGACACGTGTATTTGGGGATCATAAACAACGCATAACGCCAGATCGTATCACACTGACACAACCTTTTCTCGATATTACTAATTATAATTGGACTAATGGTGTGTGCATATTAACAGTGGATAAAATAGGAATGACCGAAGGTTATATGGAGTCGTACATGCCACGTTATTTACTCGGTAAGGAGGGATTCGAACATTTAGATCCATTTGTGCCAGTACGTGTGGATAACTACAACGATAAAGAGTTCGCGAGCTGTATACAATACTATTTAGATCGAAATTGGATACAGAAAACACCGGAAGGCTTTGACGAACAACTTAAGTACCTTAGCAATAAAAATCCTTATACATTAATGCAATTAACACGTTCGTTGTAAGTGTATGAACAACTCTGCAAACCGCAAAACAAAATAATGTTCACATTTTGAAATAAATTAAAAAAATAACAATAATAATAAGTATCGAAATAACCAAAGTTTTTATATGTGCATTAATGTGCAATATAGTAATTAAGTGTTGCAAGTCAATTAACTTCGTTGAAATAGTGGGTATTTATTGATTAAACATGTAGGGATTTCATTAAGAAAATCATCATACATTTATAAATGTATTTGCTCATTATCATGCCATCAGGAGGTACATTGCTATTGCGTTTTTGTGTTTTACTACTACTATATGCAAATATTTTTTTCTTTTTTAGCAGTAAATTGGCTTAATGAACATAAAATAAACATCAATCTAGATCATAGCAAGCAAGGAATTTTTAAGTTGAACACTGTAGTGTCAAATGCGAATAACTGCGGCCAACATGAATATACACTGGTTGAAATTTTAACAAATTTAAACTAAGTTTACTGAAGATGGTGTTAAGTATGTTATATTCGAGGCGTTATTACGAGATACTAATTGTTGTCATCTAAACGCAAATAATAACGCCGTTCCCATATTTGCTAGGCTTCGATCTTAATTGGTGGATGTAAACGCGGCCAGTCGACAAACTCCACTCCATAATGCAATATGCCAGTGGTGCCTACTCCAACAATTGTGCCCCAGAATAAAAGGAATAATAAGCTTTCTGTATTAAATTCTGCCGGAAAGATGGCGGTAATGAAGAGCATTGCCACGGCGAACAGCAAAACGGAAGGTATCTAAAAACGCACAAAAATTCCTTTAAAATCGTAAAATTTTACACTAATTAGAAGTTTACCGTGTTGTAGCGCCAAGTGCGTGTAATCACTAACGGTGATGGTAGTAAATTGCCTTCGTCTGGTTTGACCACATACTTGCCCAGAAATAGATCAAAACCATCCTGTAAAGTTACAAAAACATGTAAGCATTAAAAAAATTTGCAATTTTATTTCGAACGCGAACTCATGCACCTGTCTACTTCCGTCAGCAAAATTATTGAGATAGTAGCGAGTTGCCGAATTGATGCCATCTTGCATAAGACCGGCTTTTGTACGTTTTCCTGTGCGTGTGAAATCGGTTTTCAAAGCGCCAGTACCGGAATATTGCAGTGAAATCACATCCGCATTATCAGCCCAAACCTGAATAGATACAAAGAAATAAGTTCGTTTTTATTAAGTATATATGTATACAACTTACACCCTTGAAAATATACTCGAAATTGGGCGAAGCTCGTTCTACGATTTGGCCTGCTTGCAAAATTCCCAGCTTTTGTAGTACCGCATTCAGTGAACGATTGGCTAGCATACTTTGCACAACATTGGTGCGATCCAAGCAATCAATGCAATTTGTGCGAAATACGCCATCTTGTGCTGATACCAAACCACCATCTTCGCGCAAATGGAATACTGAGAACTCGTCCTGCTCGTGCGCAACGCGATCAATCAAAATCTGCAAGCGATCCCAACGCATTTTCTTGCATTCAGCGTGAAAGTCAAACGCTTCATAGCGTACATTGGGATTATTCATTTGCTGCACAAATGTCCGGAACGCGCGTTCCAAATTGCCCTCGGCGCGTTTTTGGTCCACCTATAGTTTACATAGAATATATTTTTTTTTTATTATAATTCTACACATATATTATTCACATTGCATAAATTACCAAGTTGAGTACTATTTGACGTCCGTATAGCATCACCTGTGCTTCGAAATGCTTCAAGCATGCCGCCAAGTGATCCTTACCCGGCACCAGCTCCGGATCAGGTTTATACCTTAGATTTGGCAATTGTCGCCAAAAGAAGGGCATACTTCCACGAGTCTGTTGCAAATACAAAAGAACTCTGTATAACTTTAATTCTATTATATAAAAATTGTCGGAAATCACCTGCACAAAGGATATACGTTGTCCATTGTACTCGACGATTTGTTCCGTTTCCACAAAATTGGCTACATTACCCGTCTCGTCAATGCCCCGCGCGAAGAAACGTGTGCCGGCGCGGTGTATAGAGCGGCGTGATATGATTGACCAAAAGAACGTTTGACCATTTACCTGCACTTGATTTATGGACACAACTGTAACAAAAAAATAAGTTGTTACAAAAATACCATGCGAAAAATATTTAATTAAATTAAGACTCATACAGCCTAGTACAATCGGCAAGGCGAATTTGCGCATTTCCGGACAATTAAAGTTACGCAATAAAGCGCCATTCCAAACGAAGCGCTCGTCGGCACGTTCGAACAAACCGTTCTAGGAGGTGTATAAAAAATTAGAAATGTTAATATATTTTATTTCCAATGCGAAATATATACCTTCATGAAGTCCGGTGGCATGCCGTGCAGGCGCTGTAGGGAGTGTGTCAAATCGTACCAATAGGAAAAGTAAAAGAAACGCGTGTCCAGTGTTTGTCGCAACATGTTAAGATAGGTTTCATTTTGTTCGCGTTGTTTAGGTCGTAAATGTGTTATAGTTGGAATGTAGGGTATAATATCGTAACCTGCCAAACGCCATATTATGGCGCCACTTAGCATTCCGACGTAAAGACGATGAGTGGCTACAATTAGGTAATGACCACCTAGTAGTTGAATGGTGCCAAGTATGCCACAGACACGTCTGGTGGGTACTTGATTGTTCAGTTGGCTGCCTTTGCCTACAATAATAATGACATTATTAAATACATTTATACATTAAGATCCATGAATATTTTGCTGACAATTTCCAAATGCATCAATTACGTTTACTTACTTTGAACACGTACTGTATTCACGACGCGATCAATTACCAACAGCTCATCTTTTCCATTGGGTTCTACAACGAAACGTTCCGGCGTTATGTACCTGTGTTTGTTGTAAAGTAGTTATAAATCAATAAAATCAATCTTTAAGCATTCATATTCGTGTCAAAAGCTTTGTTGCCACATATATGCGGCGGACAGCTGCAAGGCTAATCCATTAATAATGTCATTTCAAGTGCATATTAAGTGTGCTCTACGCAAAATCACACACCCACCCACCGCACTTAAAGCTGTATATGCGCAAACTAACAAGCCCACTATTCACATTATCTTGGTCCGTTATCAACTTACAAATTCATGTCATCGTGTATATCCCAACTGGTATCCATTTTGTATGTACCAATCCTTGTGAATTGCACAAAATTACACTTAAAATTAGTTTAAAAATAAATTCTTTTAAATCCGCTACTTTATTAATTTTGCTAATCACTCCCTGACAACGAAATCAACCACACTAAGGGCGTTGTTTATGTTGGTTACAATTTACTTTATTGTCGTTAGTTTTTTCGTTGTTTATCTGTTAATTCAAAAGGCATTTATGCTATTTAATTAGTTTCATTACTGTAGGTAAATTTTTAATTTAGAATCGTGGACAAATTGGTTGCCAACTAAAATTTTGCGAAATTTGACAGTAATCAGCTGTAATATTAAATTCTGCACAGCGTTGCATTAACATGTCTTGACTACAGTGGTTGCTAGAGATTAAGAGCGCTCATAAAATATTTTTTTGTGATTATGGGAAAATCTTTTTTCAAGCATTAAAAATTAATATTTTCAGGATTTTGAGTAATGAAATAAATAAATTGGGTTTACGTGTTATGCTTTTTTGTTGCTGCCTCAAGTCGGTGGAACTGTCTTTGTTGTTTTTCTTCCCAATAAGATATCAAAAGTTACCGAAAAGTTTAATGACAGTTTATAGGTATGTAGGTAGGGGTACAGCCTCTGCGGTCTCAATTAGCGCTAGATGCACTATTTTGATGTACTATAGTAAAACCGGTTCAAACCAGAAAAATTTAGGACAAAAGTATCTGATGGCAGATGAGTTGGAATTGTTTTAGATCTTGCGTCACTGCTTTTTCGTCTGATTCTGCGCCTCATTTAAGCAGCAAAAAACAGAAATAAGATGTTAAGTATTGGGGAACATGTTTTCTGGATACGCTACTCCCATCATCATAACTTATCCAGTCAACCCAACTTTATCTTACATAGTTCACAGCAAAGGTGTTGTTGAGTGGGTGTTCTATGGCGAATATGTATTTCGATACTGATTGAAAGCGGACTGTCATTTCTATAAAATCACTGAAGTTTCGTCTGCTTGAACCTATACTCAGTAGTTGTACTCATTTTCACTGCCATAGCCTTGCAAATTTATTGTAATGAAGTCTTTATATAGAACACCAAATAATGAGTCTTGAAGTTTTGTTTATGGTATCAACTCTTTATATGGAAATGAATGTACAAAATGCCCATTTTTGTCCGAACGCTTCGACTTTAAAGAGAATTAGGTAGTGAATTTTTTTCACGGTTCTCCCAATTGAATAATGTTTTTGGATCCTAAAGTCTACTTTAAAGGGTTATATCCACTTGTGAATTTCAAAAAAATCGATTTTTGCTTTTGCATATATATCCAATTTACATGTATTTGAGGTTATTCTCCGAAACTTTGAAGATCATTCAGCAAATTGTTTTGGAGATAGGAGTTTATTTGCAAAAATTCTTTAGCTTCGTGTAATCGTTTTCCTAACTTTAAAGGGGTTTTCTCGAAACTCGCTTGCCGAGTCGGTGAGTCGAACAAAAATTTTCTTGATTACTTTTTCTTAACTAAGAAAATAAACAATTAGGTCTTCGCTAGATTAGAAAAGGTAAAATGAATGAGGACTAATATTTAAATTTTTTTTCGATCACTTCAACTCTTCACGGTAAAATCCACGAAATTTCGCTGAGAGTTGACTCTACCTTACTTACTTACCTTCGTTTGTACCATATTTCTAAAAATAAGGAGCAGTAATAGAAATCCATACCTTACTTACTTTCCTTCGTTTGTACCATATTTCTAAAAATAAGGAGCAGTAATAGAAATCCATACCTCTAGATCCCGGTACTTACAGGTTAATAAAATATAAACACCAAATTAAAATTAAGTATCTCTCATTGAAAAAAATATGTGTTAGGTAATTTTATTTTACTCAGAATGTCCTTCACCTGAAAACTGTAAAGCAGCAATCGGATTTTGAAAAACATGAAATTACTCGGAACACACCAGTTTTGAGACTTATTCAAATTTAAGCCAATAACGCTGCACGCGCATCTTTCTACTTTTAAAACGACTTTTATCATTATGAGAAATTTCGGTTTTTATTTTTTGTTGTTTTTGTTTCTCTTTTCTTTGATTAGCATAAGCGACTCGTTTACTCTGAAGTTGCGTATTCAATACGAGTTTGTGTTTTTAAATTTATTGAAGTATTCCGTTTTTGTTTTATGATGTTATGAATGTGTGTGCATGCGTGTGTGTGTGGCTTAGAATTTCTTTGTTTTTATGCGCATTAGTCAAAGACGAGCCGGAAGCTCATATGCGATCAAATTAAGATTTGTTTTTATTTTGAAAATTTATTTAGTAAATGATCGATGCAAGAGCTCTGATTGCTGTCATTCAGGTAAATAAGAGGCCACGCGGAGCTTTTATAGAGCTGTGCAGAGTATTTGTTTTGAATTTACATTTTATTGGGTAAAAGTGACTGGGGCTTTTGGCATTGAAAATTTGATGATTAGCCAATGGATATATTTTTATTTATATTTGTGAAACATATCAAAACATCTGAGCTCGATTTTGAGAAGTTTTCAAGATTTCCCTAATAACATTGCGATACGAAATTGTTCCAATCTCAATAGTTGTTTCCTATTAGGGCTGTGGTCCCTATGATTTTAACTTTAAAAATATTTTTCATTTTCTATAAATTGGACAGAAATGCTGCCTCGAAATGTAGCAAACGAAAATTAGGCAATATTTTTTTGTGAATGTAGAGCTACGTGAATAAATAGATTTAGACAACTACACAAAGTAATACTTCTAACTGAATTCGGTTTAGTTAGAGATGATAGACTTGTGTGAATAGCACAGGAGTTAGCTGAAAGCTTAATTAAAGGCGTTTCTTAAAAACTAAATGTTATTATTTACCAGTGTTGCGTAGCTCTCATAACAAAAACAACAGTAATCAATATTGAAAAAATAATATTTTAGTATTTCGGTATCCCGAAGCCACAGTCCCGAAGTTTTGGGATTCAGACGGGATTGCAGATTATGTCTTCAATAGAAAACGAAATTATTCAACACATGCAAAAGATCATTATTCGCAGATTACACGTGGTAATGAATTTCTATTATCAGCATGAAAAATACATCAATGCTGCCTTTAATTAAAAAAACTCCCAACTATTACATTACGCACACAATGCGAGCTTCACTAAAGAAACAATAACAACCACTGTATGCTTTGCAACGCGCCGCCATTGTGCGCACCCAATATAAAATGTAATATGTAATTGCCCACCTGCGCTAATAAAAAATTTGCAAGTTCGTTGCTTAAGTCTTTTGTGTAACAGGCGTTTACGCCAACCTGACAGTGCTGAAGAAAAAACACACGTATAATATATGTGTCCATACAAGTATGCGCAAATATTATAATTAAAGTGCAATTGAATGGACGAAGGTTCTCACGTATGTATTACAACAATATGCTGTGATTACATATGTACATATGTTGGTATTTATTATGTTATCTGCCAGCACCTGTGGGGCTCAATAAACTGGTTGTTGTCAATAAAAAAAATTGGAAACGACTTTGCAGTGCATTACGTAAACATTGATGCTGCACACAGCTACACACACATATGTATCTACAATAGTATGCTTGCATATAAAATCAAATTAAAAGCGTAAAAGCGAGGAAAAAGCCGCAACAACAAAAATTATATAAAACTTTATGTTAAAGAATTCGAAAAATTTTTGCCGGCTACATTAAACACGAGCTCATAACAATGGGAAATGGGTGACGGAAGCAAGCGGGAAAGTGCCAGAAGAAACGAGAAGCGAGTGGCGAGCAGCGCAGGATAGGGCAGACAGCAGGCGTATACTGAGTGATGTTGATGGGCCGATAAGTTGGGCGATTATTCGATTGGCCCCTACTTTTTTTGTTTTTTATATATTTTGGGACACAGGTGAACCGGTATGAACGATGTGGCGGCATTGCAAAAGCAAAAGAGTGAAAGTGACGTGCAACAATTCAATTTTATGCGCCGTCGGCGCTGATAAAGGTCCACAACCATGCTTATACATATATGCACCTAAATTTATGTATATGTTTGTGTGTGTGTGTGTGCCTGTCAGCATTTTAATGGCTAATATAAGAAATCAATACTCGTTGAACTCACCTGACAAGTGTTGTCGACTTTGACGTCGAATTGCGGTTAGTGATGGGTTCACGCCTCACCTCTGCTGCGGCAGCAAGCATTCTCAGCCTCAGCTTTAGTGCTGCCAGCTTTGTGTTGTATAATGAGTACAATGCGATGATATTTTCTTTTGCATACTTTGTAAATATTTAATTACGTATATTATGGCCAACGGCAACGGACGCTTGCAACTACACATATATGTATATACATAAGTACATATATACATAAATACAAGAAAATATTGGTTTTCGTTTATTTGCCATTGACGTTGAAGATGTACCACCACACCTCAAGTTACTAAAAATAAAGAGACAACTAAGCAGCTATCAGTATTCCTTGAATGTCAAACGGAACCTCAAAGCAATTACAAAAACAAAAAAAAAGAATATATAAAACATAAAAGTGAAAAACAAAATTAAATGATATTAGACATTGACACTGCTTGCAGCAGCTGCAAGAGCTTCCACAAACTTCTTGAATACTTATGTGCATCTTTTGCTAAGTTGATTGTATCTGAAAAAGACGAAACAGTCGTGCATTGTTTAGGTAGCCGTGGCGACAGCTGTAAAAAATTGTTTTGAGGGTGTATTCTAGTCCAGAAATTTGAAAAATCCAATTTTCTCATATTTCGGTTGTTTAGATATTCAAAAATACCGTAATTGCATAAAATTTTGTTAACAAATTCAAATTACGGTTATAACTCATTTTAAGTGGCACACGTAATGTGAAATTTTTGAAAATATTGATTTTTGTTTCTTGTTTTTCATATTTTGATAGTTTATACCTTTAAAAATTACATACTAAAATCGATATCTCAAATAGTTTTTGATTTACAGTTATTTAAAGGGAAGCCGCATAGTTCAAGCAGCCCAATCAGTTCGTCTTTAAACGCGTTTTTCTCAAAACAGCATTTTTCGAATTTGCTGCAGTGATAACTCGAAATCAAATGATCCGATCATCATGACATATCTGTTTCTTGAACCGATCAGAATTTTGGCATCCCAAAAACCACCACAATTTGGGTAAAATTCAACTTTTTTTCTTTAACGCCGCCATATTGTCAATTTTTGATTATTTTTCATCGTAGATCATTGTACGGACAATATCTTTTAGTTTAACGGGAATTTTTTATACAAAGATAGCCGGAATTACTGCAATAGAGCCGTCGGAGATCTTGTATAACTAAAAA